ATTTTGTTTTTTAAATTTAATTATACATACTCGATTATATATATATATATATATAGTCAATACATTTAAATATATGTATATAAAAACTAAACAGTATCAGGAAATGGAAAACACGTGTTTTTAATTTTATGTTTCTTGTCTTATTCCTGCAATATTTGTCAAAATAAATTAGTTTTTTTTCGGTTTACGAGTTAATATACAAATAGAATGCATTAAGCAAGAAAGAAAGAATGTATTATGTAAAAAAGAGATTTTTCAATACGTTTTTCCAGTCTATTTCATCGATAACAGTATCTGGGTGTTAATGTGCGGGAAAACAATTTATACTCTATCTTGCAGTGCAAAAAAATATATATTTCGTTCCCTGGCATAATCCGATATGTCTGCAATAAAGGGCCAAGAGTTTCTTAGGAAACATACCTGTAAACGACGTAACCGGCGTCGTTGGTCAGCTCACAGATCCATGGACACGGCTTCACCGGTATAAGTATAGTGGTGGTGTTGGACGGGCTGTGTAGAGGAAACGTCATGTTGTACGAGGGATGTGACTGCAAAAACAGAGGGAGCGATTAAACGTGCGAGGATAAATGATCCTTCTGCGAAAACAATCAAACAATGATTAAAAATCTCCCCGAAGCGACGGATTAGCCGTGGCTACTACGTACCCGTTTGTCCTTCCAGCCCACCAGAGGCGGAAAGCAGATGACGAAGCTCAAAACCCAAACGGTGCCCACCAACATTCTGGCCCGTTTCGTTGACATAAGCTGGATTTATGGAAATGAAAAAGAGAGACGATTAACGCGGAGATACGCGTCGATACGATAAGTATTAAAGAGATTATGCGCTCATCGACTCGAGAACGTGCAAATTCTCGATAATTTAAATATTCGCCATCATAAATTCCTTGTGTTTCTCAATTTTTAACTTTCCGATATGCCAGATTTTACATTATCCGAGAGATTTGCAACAACATATATCTGTAGCTTCTATTTTACTATATTGTATTATAATCTTTGATTGTATTTTAATCTTTCAAAAAATATAATAGATTAATGCATATAATCGGCTTCAAAATCAAGTGTTGCAAACAAAATATTTCAAACAGTAAATACGGTAAAAATTTGGAATAGAATTATAAATGAGGAAACAAATCTAAAAATCTCATTTATAAAAAACTTTCTTTCAACTTGACTGAGTATCTCTTATCGTCGCAAGCGCTCGCGATTACGTGGAATATTCCCGACAATCGTATCGTTTCGCTATGCATAAGTACATCGAGATGGACGAACAAATCGATTGATGCGTAATGCGCGGCAAATCTCTCTGGGATAATCGAGTGGTACTTGCCTGAGGATAACTGACTGGCCTGGTCACAGCCAAGTACCTATCCAAGCTGATGGCGCATAAATTCAATATCGACGCCGTGCACATCCAAACGTCGACCGCCAGCCACACGGAACACCAGAGATCTCCGTATATCCAAACCTTTCGAGAAGAACATTTACGGGAAATATATTCAATATCAATGTAATATAGTATATCTTTCGTCGTATTGAGCTTTAAAAGCGCAAATACGGATTTCGAAATCTAATCCTTATCTCGAGTGATCAAATTTAACGTTAATTTTACTTGACTATTTAGTTCATTTTATTAAAGATATTTTATATAAAATATAAAATGTAAAAAATGCAATTAATTTGGAATTGAAAGTAAACGACTTTCCCATACATTTTTTTTTTTTTTAGTTAGACGAAGCGGCGTAAGATAGATACATTATGCGCGTCATTAACACCGATAATGCGTAACATGTTATCAGATAAGACGCAGAGCCGGCACCTGTCAAAGATCGGATCGATTCCCATTCAGATCGACGATGCACAAAACCACAATGATTCACAATGCGACCACGTACAATGGAATCTCATGTACCATGCGTGCAGCGTGCGTGATGTACGTTGTACGCACAACGCATTCGCATAATGATGGGTAATACAACGTGTGGTTCTCTACGGGGTGGCAACCACCTTCAAATTGAGCTTTGACTCGAGTGGTGTTAAACGCGCTACCGATATTGGAATTCAGTAATTAACCTTCATTATTTACTGTCTGAGGTTTACTATAGTTGCGAATATACGGTCTCGCTGACAATTGCAATTAAAATCGATTTACTTTTGTTGACGATTTTTTATATTTATTGACCATTTGCTCTCTTTTTTTTTCTCTGTCACGATTTGAATAAATAATTAAAAGAGAGTTCCGAAAATTTTGATTTATGTGTGTAAGAATAATTTTGCGACTATTATACAGTTATTAAAAAAGAATATTTGTCACTTTTCTGTTAATCAAATGCAAAATATTAAAAAATGTATTGCGAGTAGTAGCATTATTATATATGCAATATATATACACACATATAAAACTTTGTAAAAATGTCAAAGGACTTGCAAATGTAGTAACGTTTTTCATTTCCCTTTATATCAAAGAAATCTGTTTAAATTTGTTGTTAAGCAAACCTGAATAGTATGCGTTACCAGTTATCGACAACTAGCGGGAGAGAATTCTATTAATTGCTCGTTATTGTTTGCGCGACTCGGCATGCATATAGATATGTACATATGTATGTTGCGGTATAACGCAACCGTTTCATTTTTGTTCTCAGGTTGGATTACGCGTTATTTAATTAAAATTAAAATTTTATTATAATCAGCAGGCAATACCTATATAGATAGATTTTATCGGCATACTCGAAGAATGTTAATTGAATGATATTCCGAGGTATCTAATTTCTCAAGAAAATGCCAATCGATATTCACTTCTGTTCCACCGCAAATACTTTGACCGAAACGATCGCTTCGCGTTTATGAATATTCTAAGAAATTTACATTATCACATTAAGTTATTCTTCCCTTAAATGCAGATATCGAGTGCTCTCCACACCGTGCGTCTCTGCGTCCAAGTCGCTCGTTATTGCTTCTTTCTTTCTTGATTTTGACGCTGAGAACGCTTTTTATGCTACGCCACCCGACCGATTCCCTCTCCGGAAGAGAATGGCAAGGAGGAGAGACCTTGCGGAGCAGAAAGAGTCGTATCATAACGTGAAGAAAATGAAAGGAAGAAGAACTAACTCACGCTATATCGTATAAACTCCAGCTCTTAAATGGAGCATCTCGTTTTGGCTTGACCACAGAGAAACTCGTGTCGCTTTTATATACCCATGCCGTCATTCACCTACCCGTTTCCGTCGAACACTTGCACGCACGCGCGTGCATATCCACACACACACACACACACGCGCGCGCGTAAATATCGCGAGCATCGTGGGAATCTAGACTGAAAGGACCAAAAGGGAAAAGCTGGCAAACTGTTGCGCCCTCCGCGAGTCTCACTTAAACCGGCACATCTTATTCGACGGTGATTTCGAGATAAAGTGCGCCATCGCGTCTTTTCGTGACTTTTTCTAATCGCATTAGAAAATGACGAGAGATTAAAAGGGATAATGTTACAAAGTTCGTTGAAAGACACGCAGCAAAGGAAATATCCTATGTCCTATATCGTCGTGAAAGATAAACGAGCGCGCGTTCCACGATTAACGATGTGTGGCACATATTCCCTTCGAAAAAATTATGACTCGGAAATACTATTTTATTACTATATAAATTCATTTTTTATAAAAATTTCCTTTTCTATAAGAAAACATATCTTAAATGTATGAGAAAAATAGAGTAAACAATATTTTAGCGAAATTGATTTGTGTCATCTAAGACTGTCTTTCACGTAGTACTTAATGTTGAATAGATAAAAGACAAGAAAGCATTACCGCATCAATTTATCGAATTGGAGAATATATTTTATACGATTGTCATTACGGCGCTACAAAGGCTTTAAAGCAGAAGCAGAAGCAGAGGAGGGAAGAGAAGATATTATATAATATCTAAAAATTCGAAATAAGATGCATATTTCTAAAATTGTTTTTAGATTAAAATTTCCAAATTAAAATTAAAATTAACTTTAAATTGTATATACTAGTACATATGTATTCTTTTTGTTTACTCTGATTTTGTAAAATACATCTCGCGTCTGTCGCACGTGGATATATCGTGAAATAAAATTTGCTCTGTTCAAACTGCGAAAACAGGTAGATTCTGTCGAAAACTGTACGCTAATGAACAATCAATGGATAGAATTTCGCTGGTGATCAACTCGTTGTTATCTCGATACGTCGTAATGCCATCGCGACTGTGATACCATTGTACATACAACACAATCGTCGCGTGAAAAGTGCACTATTGGTCGCGACAAAGTGACTATCGTCGATTCAAGATACAACTTTGACGGGGCAATTCAAAACGCGAAATTTCATTCATAAAATAATACATTAATAAAACACGATCGTTATTTGATAACAGATTTTTATCAAACGTTTCTTTTTTATCGTTCTTTTTCATCGTTTTTATATAACACGATGGCATTTATTAAAAAAAAATGTGTTGCATCGATCTTTCTATTTTGAAGATTGTATTTTGTCTTTTTATCTTTCAGTATCTATTCGTTATATTCCATTGTAAAAATTGAGATGAGGCGCATAGTAAACGAAAATACTTACCTTGAAGACTTCCCAGGTTGCGCTGAATGGCAAGACGGCGACCCCGACCATCAAATCGGCAACGGCCAGGCTCACGATGAACATATTTGTCACGTTTCTCAGCTTACTGGTGCAGTAGACGGCCAGTATGACTAGGACGTTACCTACCACCACCATGACATTGACAATAGCCAGAACGATTAGAGTAACCACGTTCCCCAGGCTTGACCACTCGACGCCGTCGTACAAAGCAGCGCATGCGGTGGCGTTCAGCTCTCGCATTTTAATTAACTCTCGCGGTCCTCGGGTGCGCCCATGCGATCTTGTCGAAGGACTCTAGAGAATTTCGTGTACGGCAACGCTGACGAGAGATGCGAATCAGAAGGAACGCGCCAAACACCTCGAGTCGCCATAATCAGGAAATCAAAGTTTTCTTCCGTCAGATGCACAATGACACTTATCGGTTATCGACACTCTGTGATGTTTGTTATTTTCACTGAAAACTATAATGTATACGTTTTCGCCGACAATGAAAACTGTGATTTTCGACGGTCTATCGATTCATTTGACGTGTCGCGGGAGTAAAATTTGAAGCTCGCAGTTTTTTCGTAGTCCTTGAATCCGAGGACACAATCGCACTTTCTTCGTATATTAATCTATTGACTAGTTATGTTCGATCACTTTACAAATCATTTAGCAACTTTACATTATGTGATTTTATGTCGCGAATTGATCGTTACTTTAGAACAGAATTATGCGGATCGTTTCTCTTTCTTCGAATTATTTAAAATCACCGCTGAATTATTAAAAATGACAATTGTGTGTGTCAAACGAGATACACTTGCTTTCACACTATCGACGTAACGTTAATTATTACACTTGTCTCCTCTTTTCCGATATTTTTATTTAGCGGAGGTTACATTTGTGACTTTCGTTGAACACAACCGTTGAAGATCCTCCGTATGAATTCCCGTCAATATTTCGACAATTACGGTCGGATGAGCTCGTTAATACGCACGTCGGATACGTTTGCCGATACACTTGATCATAGACTGTGCAATCCGGCAGTTTTAGTTTCGCGGTCGCGAACACAATCGCGAAACGTTGTTTCGAATAATCGATAACCCTCACTCTCTCTTCCTCTCTCTCCTTCCCAGGTCGCTCGTGTTGCACCTTGGATATCGTCTAACGTTACGCGGCCTTTAAACAACGAGTAGTGTTTTAGACAGCGTCGATAGTATCAAATTCAACGGATTACGATCCAGTTTGTCGAATGTCTGCGACTCACTCGTCGTCTTCTTCTTTCATTGTTTGCGAATTGCAATCGCGATCTACATCGGCGAGACACATCGCCTCTCTCGAATTTCATCAACGTGAATTTGTAGATCATCACATTGCTTTCTCAAGCATTGCTTGCTCTTTCCTTTATCAGCAGCATCAAAGACTTCAATGGAATCACTTGGATCTTCTCGGTAACGTTGATTATTTCACCCCCGTGCTGAATTTTTTCTATGCGCGATTCTCTTCTCCATCCACGGTTATATCTGAAATTATCGATTGAATGAAAGAACGCGAGATTCTATAAACGATACTTCAATGCGATTTTGCGCGGAGACGGTTCCCGCTGGCGTAACACGCGCTGGGGGTGATTCTCGACAAAAACCGTGCAATGAGATCGCTCTATAATCGCCCACGTCAATATCACGAAACTCCGCATTGTCACACGATCCACGTGTCACAGTCCATTAGCGTTTTCCTAAATAGAAACGACAGAATACAACAAGGAGAACGTATCTTAGCGAGCAAACTTCGGCGACGGGTTGATAACGCACGTGTCGTGATCGTTGTCGGTTTTCTCTTCCCTTTTTCTCTCCTTCTCGCAACAGTAGCAGGCTGCAATTTCTTCTCCGGAGACCGTTTTAGCTCCGCTGTATTGCTTCGACTGCACTTTTCGCTTCCGCCACACACAAGACGATCACATACCCACCTAACGTGACCCTTCCTCCTTCTGCGGCTTCACCCTCTCGTATGACGGGAGGTGCTTCTCCTCCTTCTTCTTTCCTTACCAAATCGAATCCGACGGAAATCTTCCGACGTTCATTCCGCTCGAAAGATTGACGTTATCCCACCAAGAATTGAAAACAGCGTCGTCGCTTCTATTAAGCGAAGTCATTGACTGGCATTCTCTTCTTGAATTTTACCGGCGTCGACACGATCAGTTGAGTGCCTTTCCCTCGATCTCACCCGCTTCCACGATAAGAGGCGGCTTGATCCTTTCGGGAAGCTATGGGCAAATTTTATTGATATAAATCGATGGTGATTTCTTGAAACCTTAATTGCACATCGACACTTTCGCTCACGTAGACATATATAAGTAAATTTCAGAAGCATATAAGAAACTTTTCTACTTGAAGAATTTTAAGATGAAGAGATTTTTCATTCATCTCCTGGACTTGCGCTTTGCTTTCTTTCTCTCACTATTAGTAATTATAATAAAAGTTTCCTGGTTTTATGATTCTAATGAACGTTTCGCCAAAGAAAACGTCCTGTCGTCAAATAAATTCCCAGCTCGTGTTTATTTAAGAACATACGATTTTCTTATCGGTATCTTTGTAGATGAGAAAAAAGGCTTTGAACTTTAACATTTGAACGCACACGATCGGACAATTCGCGCCGACAAATTACTATTGCTATGTGACTGCCACGAGTGAGAAAAATTATTTTTCTCTTAGATTTCGCTCTTCTGCCAACGTTGAACGGAGCAGTAATTTCTGCTGTTCGCTTTGCGAGCGGGACAACTTGCGCTTCTCACTCAACTCAACGACGAATATTTCATATATTCTTCGTTGAATGAAAATCTCTATTCCGCGGCCGCCGTTTTTTTATCGTGTCGAGAGAATCTCGGCGTGTATAAACGGTCGCTCGTTACGTTCTCGGATGTAAAAATCGAATTACTCGTCGTTTTATATTTAATAATCTCGCAGAAAGAAAGAGAGAGAAGAAAAGGGTTAAATTATTTCTTTTCCTGTGCCATATTCTTCAAATTAAATTCTCGATTCGCTTCTGTTCGTGCTTTCACTCAACTCAATCTTCTTCGTGAAGAATCTCGTCTTTGCCGATCCTGTGATCTTATGTTCAATTTCTTCTGACAATCTCAAGCAGTTGTGACTATTCACGACTAGTCATCGGACGGACACGGGGACGGAGGCGCGAATCAGAATTCTTCCCTTTTTTGTTGACGCTCGTTCTTTCTCGTCAGGCGATCGTATCGACGAGTGAAGAAACAATCCCGAACGTATATGCGTGCTGTCTTTAACAAACGAATTCGCGTTCGTATCTGTCTCGAGTCTCGAAATCCCGATTCAGGACACTCCGCGCGCGCGTGCTCGTCCTTCAGGATTACGCCTCCTGGTGCAATGAATTTGCTGTTACGCGGCCGACCGGAAATTGCAATCTATCCCTACAATATCTTCCTGCCTTTTCGCAAGCTTCCACTTAGACTGACGTTACATGCGAAAAAAGGTAATCAAAAGAGGGTGCCTTTTCGGCAGCTTTCTGGAAGTGCGATCACGTTCCACCGCGAATGGCGAGAGTTGAGTTTTCGGTGCGATTTTTCCGTTGGCGATCGTTTGTTGATGCGTCAGAGATGCAGGATAAATTGATATCAAATTGATACTGAAAATTCCCGCGGTAAATCCCGGTGGATTAATCTCATGGACCGATTTCGTACGCTTTCCTCTTACTTTTTTTTTTCGGACGTGCGTGGGCGTTTCATTCACTCTCGGAAACTATCGATATCGAATTGTACCTTTTATGGTCGTTTTTGCAAAAGAGATGAACGAAAAGTATTATTTCTCTTTTCGACGATCGCTTACTACGAAAAAAAAGTAGATACAAAACTTGAAGTCGTTTGTTCAGGCTTCAACGTTTCCTTCACGGTATCCTCTCCTTGTTCCGCTTCAACAATCTTCACAAACGATTCGTATCCTACTTATCGAGCGTGTTGCCAGATTTAACTGCGAATAGCTTTTCTCCGTTCGACGACGTTTCTCCTTAACTCTTTCGTTTCCTCTGCTCGTCGGATTATATATTTCCACGGAATCGAAGAAATTGCCGGACTAGATAGCTCGTCGATTGGATAGCTCGCCCTCGTTCGCACTTTGTAATTCAAGTTTGCGGAAGTAGTCGCTTGAATCTTTAATTCAACCAGTCTGTACTTTCGATCGGATATTCTAAGCTAATCCCGCTATGTCAATCGTCTAAAAGTCTGCCATCGATTAAGAGATCCAATAAACTGGCTATTATTGTCCCTTGCTCATTTTACGAAAAAGAGAAGGCGCTAAAACGCCGCATGAATTTTCAATTATGTCTCTTCGCAGTTTGCTCGACACTCTCACGAATTTTCTTTAATTACGTCTCATCTGCGCCGGTGATCTGATATGCCGAATGAATTTCTAATGATCCCTTCGGATTTGGTCGCAATCTATTCTTTAAATTGTGTTCACTCTAGTTTTTGATAATCTAATTTCGTCGAAGCACTTTCAACGCTAATCTATACTTTTCGAATGCGCCGAAAAATGAAGCACATTTTCCTTTCAGAAATTCGGTGTAAATAATCACGTCCGAGAAGTTCGCGTTAATTACCACTGGCTTTTGGTCTTAAACGGCTGAATTTTTGGCAATTCCAATTTTAATCACGCTCCATATATATATATATATATATATATATATATATATATCCGCAAAAACACTCCGAACGAAAATGTCGCTTTGATTTCTCCCCTTATATTTCTTCCATGCGTTTAAACCTGAGACGATTTATCCGTTCAAGTTCCTTTTCACATTTCGACTCCCAACCGGCTCTCACCTCGGTTTTCTCTTTCTTAATTACCTTTTCCTCCGCTCTTTTCCGCCGTTCAATTTTCTTCCCTCTCAATCCAAACGTTTAAAATGCTCTTCACCCCTCTGCCTCTTTTTCTAATATTTCCTCTCGACTTGTCCTTTTTAATTGTCAATCTTCTTCAGTTATTATCCCACTATCTATGGATATAAAGCGCTGCAAAATTTCACGAATTTTTCCGATCTCATTCGAAACCGCCGAATAACTTTATAACGATATTGACGACGCGACGATTCCTTTCCGCCGATGCAGCGAAATAATTTTAAGCCTGATCCAAGTATTGGACGAGGTCCGAGTGCCACTCAAACTTTTCGATGCCGACGAATTCTCCTTCTTGAGCTTTTCCGCTCGACGCAGCCACAGTTATCGTAGATCTTGAACGAATCGCGTGAACATCTCACGATCTTTTCGAGGGATTCCCTAACTTTCAGGAACAGCGAGCGCTCGTCGACGACGAGAGAAAGAGAGAACACTGCCAGGTAATCGAGAGCGTGTTGTCGAACGTGGTTAGACGCGAATCGAAGTACGCCGAGTAAATCTGACAAACGTTTCCTCGACGTGACGTTTCCCGTGACGATGGATCGCGTTCCGTTCGCGTTGCTTTCGTGATCGTTAACCGACAATGTAGTTCCGAGCTTCGTAATTTGCCGGCTCCATGAAGGCAATTCTTGCCGTCATTTATATGCAACTAATGCGTTCTACGATGGTGCTAATAAATGCAAGGGAAACAACGTTTCGATTCCTGCACTTTCGCAAAGATGAGATTAGCTTTGCCTTAATTATTTTTTAATAGTCTTTAAAGAACATGGATAACATTCAGATCGCGATTAATGTTTACAGTATTACAATATGGATACACAGTTTATAATACGGATATAGGGTTAATCACACGACAAAGTACAGCAACGGCATCAGCAACGATCGAGCAATGTCACAAATTACGACGATAACGTTCCAGTCTCGCATGTTCTTTGTGAAAAGTCTAACTTGATCAGTCTTAACAATTTTCGCGCATCAAGCCTCTGAAAATCGGATTCTAGAAGTAAAAATCACAGCCAGTGAAGTGAAATTACGCTCGTCGATCGTCGCCACGATCGCGATCAGTCTCGCGTGCTCTCGTATGCATGTGTGTACGTGTGTGTATATAAATGTGTATGTGATCCTCCTTTCTTTACTCTCGTCGACTTATCGCTTTAGATGCCACTGGATGCGCTAAGTTATCTTCCGGCATCTGGCGCACTGTCTGTATCTAAGCAATCTGAAAAGCGCTGCTTTCTTGATGCGCTTCGATCGCATTATTTCGCTCGATCGGTCTTGGTGCTACAACGGCCGCTTTAGGAGATTCTCTCGAAGTAACGCGCGTAATGCATCCCACCGGGCTTCCCGATGATTTATTCCGCCCTCGCCTTCATTCCATTCTCCAACGGCAACATCTGCAAAAGAAAGCATGAGAAAAATCTCGTTGTTACTATGGCAAGGATTGACCATCGACTGTCGACGAGACAGCTCGAGTCCGAAGTAAAACGATAATAGGTTGCACTTATAAGAAAATATTCAGCTGTTACTCAGTATGTTTTCTCGACAGGGAAGAGGATATATTTAACGGAATAAATTTTATCACAAAAAAATTAAATTTTTCTTTCTTCAAACCTCTAATAAAAAAAAAAAAAATAATAATATTTAAAAAAGTATTTTCTGGTAGAACAAAATTCAATTTTTTTATTCATAATTTTTAATTTTTTAGGAAACTGATTTTAAAATAATTAAATCAATAATATTTTTCTCTGTTTAAAGTTGAATATATTATCTCTTGCCTTCTCATGTATGCAAAAATTATTTACTTAAGTTCAAGATAAAAAATGCATGAATTTTTTATAATGGTGCAAATTTAATTATTAAATTAATAAAATAAAATTTAAGAAAATATATATTATTAAATTTAATTATTAAATTACTCAAACACATATATAAATCCTGCTAATAATATCTACAATCATTTTTATATATATTTTGTCATGACTATCAATACTTTGCAATAAAAAAATCGTATAAATTTCAACATAATTATGCAATCTTCGAATCTATTGGAATTCTGAATAAATTTGGTAGTTCCATGCCACTACAAAACAAAGCGGATATACTAGAAGTGGAATTTGTGGTGTGCGCAAAGTCGATAGAGGATTCTGTTCAAAGATTAGATGGAATTGAATGGACAATCCCGGGCGAGCAAAAAGAAAAACCGATGGACGGTAATTGCCATTCAAATATGAAATACACGGATCCTAAAAACGAGGATTATCGGTCTATTATCGTTCACAATCAGTATCATTACGCGTGCGTTTCCTTCTTCCAAAATTGCGACTCGCAACATGCAAGTGACTTCTCTCGACAATTTTATTCGGAAACCATACGCGTAGTAAACCTACAATAAAAGCCACTTACAAATCTTCATATTTCGCCAATAACGATTGCTCGTGATCGTAAATCGTGTTTATGCGACGTAAATTTTCTGCAATTTTAGTTTCTTGCATATAATTGCATGTGTGTGTGTCAATCTTTTTAATTTTATCCATCTAATGTCATATATAAAAGCGAATATACGTATAAATATTTTTATACGTATATTTATGTATTTATAGATTAAAACACTTCGTAATTTGGTCATATTTCCAATATTAATTTTCTGCACTTGGATCTAATAAAATAAAATATATCTTTTATATTGTGCGATACAAAATAAAATTTGTAATTTATCTTTGTATGCCTTCATCTTATTTGTAAGTAGGTTACAGAAAGTCCTGCTTTTTCTTCGTTTTTTTTTTTTTAATTGCGTTAAAAGCGTGCGTGGCTGTTTACCCTCTCTTTATTTGTATGCAAAATGCACAGTAACAAATATGACAAAGGGATTATGAGTAAAATTTATTAAATGATAAACAGAAAGAAGAAGAAAAGAAATGAGGAACGGTAAAAAACGCGAGATGCTACACTAAACATATATATATGTTTGCAGAGACAGCAAACAAAGTAGGTCACTGCTACAGTCTCTCTTCCGTTTTGCAGAAGTCCGGCTGTTACATTATCTGTCCCCGACAAGAATTTGAATAATACCAATGATACTATACGATGATGTTTGATTTTCACTTTAAAAGCGTTTATATAAAAAAATCAATTTTATTTAAATAATTTAGCGTTCACTCTAGTTTTTGATAATCTACTTTGTATGCCTTCATCTTATTTGTAAGTAGGTTACAGAAAGTCCTGCTTTTTCTTCGTTTTTTTTTTTAATTGCAATTGAGTGCATCTCAACAGCACCTGGTGCATCCAAGTGAAACACCCGTTCGATAGGGACGTTTGACGTAATTCATTGGAAATGTTCGAAGATAGAATGTGACAATAACAGAATGTTTCCGCGTATAAATGTATGTACAATAAAAAAATTTTAATACCATGATTAATTAATAATTTGTGCTTATATGTCTTTAAATAATTTAAAATAATATCATGTCATCAAAAGAGTGTCTCATATGCGTGTAAAATTATAGAAATAAAATAATTTTTTATAATAAAATATACAATCTATACAATTTTATTTTTTCATATTCTTTCATCCTTGATTCTACGATATATTAGAAAAGTGAAGAATATATAAAGCCTCGAATTCTTTTAAATCTGCTTCCCTTGAGTGTCATTTTTATTTACATTTTTATTCTAAAATTACAAATACAGAGCAAGTCGCTTGCTAATTATAAGTCATAAAAGAACTTGGAGAAAACTGATATTTGTTTTTCTATTTTTCTATATGTATCGACATGAAAAAAAAAATTGCATAAAAAACGTTAATTGCGTTAAAAGCGTGCGTGGCTGTTTACCCTCTCTTTATTTGTATGCAAAATGCACAGTAACAAATATGACAAAGGGATTATGAGTAAAATTTATTAAATGATAAACAGAAAGAAGAAGAAAAGAAATGAGGAACGGTAAAAAACGCGAGATGCTACACTAAACATATATATATGTTTGCAGAGACAGCAAACAGTGAAATACCGAGGCAATGCAACGACTTGCAGCCAGCAAGAGTATTACGTTTATTAATTAACATTTGTTCTTTATCTTCGTGTCTATGTGCGTAAAGAATTATATATATATAAGTTACTTTTTCTCACCCAGTTATGTCGTTGATTCTCATTCTTCGTGTTCATTCTTCTGCGAATCTTTCTCTATGATTCATTTATATATATTAAAATATTATTGTTCATTATATTTTATTGTCTCAGCTATTGAAATATTGTCACGCCTAGAGTTATAATATTTATCTAACGCAATATAATGTTTATCCATTAATAATAAGAATCCATTAGCGCATTTGCTTATATATTTTGTTATTTTAAAAATAATATAATATTCAAAAATGGATAAAAAAACGTGTTTTCTTTTGTAAAAAAATAATCCGAAAGAGCGGACATTAATCGACAAAATTCCGTATTTGCACGCAATGTAAAAAAAGAGGATATGCATAAACCCGAGTAGTGCAATATACATAAGGGAAAACACTGTACTGCGAGGAGCCTTACAGAACATTTGTGTAAGTACAAGA